TATGAGAAATCAATTCCATAGCATATAAGTATGGTAGTCACTGTTGATGAATAAATATATAAAATACTTTAAATATTTATAAGCTTGAGAATTTTGAGAATCTATGGAATTATTTCGAATCTAAAGCTTCGAAGACAGAATATTTTAATAGAAGTTTGAAAATGGTTCCAAAAGACTATTATTCGAACAGCTCTCTGTATCAGAAGACAGGTATAGAAAAAACCCACCTAAGAATAGATCCATTATAATATTTTCTTTAGAGAATGATGCGAATTTATTGTATGCATGTTTATAATGTATTAATATTTTTAATTGTGTTAGCAAAGTTAATATTTTCTTGTCAAATTTGATCATTTATTATTAAAAAGTGTGAAGAAAATTGAAAAAAAAATCACATATGTTAAAGTCAAAAATAGTAAAAATGTTTGGATCGCCCAAAATTAAAAATAAATAAAAGAAAATGAAGTCCGCAAAATTTAAACCGATTCACCTACAATTGCCAATGCATCGTGTATACAGCAATTGTCACCATAGAGAATGTCAGCGAAAATCGGCATACCTTGATATCTACAACAAAACGTGTCAATGCAAGGGAGTATGTGAAACTACCAGTCTATCACAATATATCGAAAACGTTGTCGATTTGGCAAATACACTTGCTCATGTTATGATCACCTGCTGCATTCATCCGTGTAAAGCGAAAAATTCCGTAGATGTTATTACCTATGCCCTATTAAATTACGATGAACAATGCTATTGTAGTTCAGATAAAAAGCGTATACGAAAGGAAGATCTATTTTTTGAACTTAGCCAAAGATTAAAAATGGATAGACTAGAAACTCATATCGCATACACAATTATAAAGCGAGCCTTTAAAGCTTTATATTTTGTTCCGAAAAAATGTTGCAATGAAGACGATGAGAATCAGTCCGATATCGGAGCATGTGTATGGGCTAATGCAGCTAAGAGAATTGCAGAAGAATTGGCGCGTTACAAAAAACATAGTTGTACTGAACAACGCCGTTATGAAAAAAAAATTCTTGCTTTGCTATCGGAGTTCTATATAAGAACACAAGAACCAAGAGTAGCTACGACATATGATCTGTGCAACTGTTGCTTCTGCAGTAGGCATCGCAAGCCAATAGCTGTTAAACCACCGCCTTGTAAACCTCCGGCATATAAACCAATTTGTTGCAAAAAACAGATTAAAATCACTTCCAAAGGCAAAAAGACCAAAAAACCAGAAAAACTGATTTGTCCCATATGCTTGCGCTTAAGAAAGAACTGCATATGCTTCAAGGGTAAATTTGAGTTGCAGTGGGTTGGTAGTATTTGGGAATGGCATGATTTTCATGAATATTATAAGTATACTATTCTCGGTGGCCACCCATTTTGCACTCAAGAAGAACTTGAAGTGTTTTGTGAGGATTGGTTCGACCCACCTTGGTTGAATATACCTACAATAAAATGTGAGGTAGAGGAAAGTAATGTTGAATGAGACCTCTCAGATTGGTTTAATGTGTCCTTGATAATAGAACAGTATGAAATAATGCTATTTTCCATTTGCATTCAAAATTGAAAGCTATAAAACATGATATCCTTTAAGAGAATAAAATAAATTCCAAACATATAGTGAGTTTTGACTTGAGTTATATCGCTATCTTTAGTTCTACAAAGCAGAATCCATATTACCAACTTTGTTTTAATAAAAATTATAAATTTGATCGTAGTTAGCTTTAAATGACTATAGAAGTTAAATTTTCGTAATAAATCAAAATTGTATTTTTTGTATTTATTTTTGATAAGTAACATTGAGCTAATGTCAAAATTGTTCGTTAGACATTATATTAATTCAAAAAACAAAAAAAATTTGTAAAAGTGGAAGGACTAAATTATAATTTAATTAAACTCAACCATTGCAATGGCCCACGTTGCGTTTAGGCATCGTTGCGGTACTAACTGCCAGCATAAGGAATGCCGAAATAAAAACAAGTTGGGCTTTGTGGACAAAACGTATGAGTGTAAGTGTTTAACTGACCTGAATACTTCGTCACTGTATTTGGAAAACCTCATTGACATGGCAAAGACCTTAGCTGAAGTAATGAAGATCTGCGGTATACATGACTGCAAGGCGGATTCGACTGTAGATACTGTTACATACATGCTACTTAATTACGATGAAGTTTGTTACTGTGTTGATGTGTTACCGAGAAAGCGTCTCAGGAAAGAAGATCTGTTTCATGAGTTAGGTCGAAAATGTCTAATGAATCGTGTAGAGGCACATTTAGCTTACGCAATCATCAAGCGTGGCTTTAAAGGTTTTTACTACAAGCCAAGTTTCCTAGGCCCTAATGAAACTATGCCATTGACCTGCTATACAGAACAAACTATATGGATACATGTAGCTAAAAGAATAGCTGAACATTATTGTGAATATAATAAATTACCAATTGATGAGGCATTGGGTTTTGAGGCGAAAATTAAAAATGCATTCAAAAGATACTATGAACGTAAACAAGACAGGCGAAAGGAGAAATTAACGAAGAAGTGCACATGTTGTTTCTGTAACCAGAAGCAAGGTCATCTTATCTTCACCAAAGATGAAGCATTAGAAACGTATGCTGAACCTGATGTGGAGAAAGAGGATCATAGATGTCCACATTGTTGCAAGAGGAAAGCCAGGCCGGCTCTTATACACTCCGGTCGTTCACATGCTAAATGCATGAAGTGTTACCGAGCCAAGATTTACTGCATATGTCCGAAATACGATTTCAACTTGAATTACGTGGGCAGTATTTGGAACCGTCCTGACTTCGCAAATTACTATGAAACACAAATTGTGGCAGCGCAACGTGC